CATGAAATCACTCAATTTGTGACGTAACGGGAACTCTCAAATGTATGACAAAAATGTTTCCTCAACTCGAAGCCTCATCGTAGTGCGTTGTGGTAGACAGCTATCTAGAATGATGAAACTAGGATGAAAACTGTACGATCGAAAATAAAGATCGTAGTCGCTTTGAGCATGGGTGTAATTTATCTTTCTGTTCTATCTTTCTGTACTAAATGGTGCTTACGATAAGGTGATTATTAGAAAAGTTAAATACATTTGGGCAAGCCAGTTTTTTCGTTTGTTTACTTAACTTATTTCGAAAATAGATATTTCATCAGTTTGACGACATGTTCGCTCAGATCATATATTAGGAAATAGTTTCGTCAAAACGAAGAAAGTTTCGTGAATTTGAATATCCATTTTTTACAGTGTATCTGTGTTTATATTCTAGTTTGAATTTATTTGTATGCATTTTGCGAGTATTTAAACTAAAAATGCTATTAAAATTGTCAAAATCTTGTAATATTCTGCAAAGGAAATTTTTTAAGGTATAAACGTAAGATGCAATTTATCAAATCAACTTTTTTTTTATTCAGACCGAATTAGAATTATTTAGTTTTAAAAACATAGAATTGCGTCCTTTCTTTTAGTCTGAATTTAATTTTTTTAATGAATAACTAGATGGCTCCTTTTTAAGTAAATCTATCTCAAGATAAAAACATTTGATAGTTGTTAAAAATTAAAATATGATCATTTAGACGGTTTATAATTATGCAAATAAAATTATCATTGTAAGCATACATGTCTGGTGAATGCGATTCACTTTTTATTTTTTAAAGAATTCTATTATACATGATAAAAGAATATAAAATAATAATAAATTAGTAAAAGCTAGTTATTGATAAGAAAAGATATCCTATATATTTATTTACATAATAGGTATCCAGAAATTTATTTTTTAATCCATAAAATTAATCCATTTTTTATAAAAATAATTATTTGATTAGAGAGAGAATAAGTGGGAATTGTAGGTGTTTGTAAGATAGCTCGCACTTTCGAAAACGCTTTTTTTGATGTTAGCATAAAAAAGCTAAGTTAAATTGAGTGCTATATTATAAAACAAGTTCAAACAACGCGAAAAGATTTTAAATAATGTCCCATAAATAGACATACAGCTATAGCATAATGAAGCAGTTTCTTTTACGGTCAAAAGATAGAAACACAGAGAGGCAGGAACAATTACAAACAAGTTACAAAGTGGCTTTTTGTTATAATTTTATTATGTCCAATGTTGATTCGCCTCTCTGTGTTCTTTCATTTTGTATTTTGACTCTGAAGGAGGGTGTGATATTAGTACCGAAACGACCGTATGTTTGTCTATGTGGCATTATTTGTGTTCCTTTCACGTGGTATTAATTAATTCCCTGGTGTTAGTATTTAATTGAAAAGAGAAGATACAGAAAGAAATAAGTCAAGAAATGGCTGAGAAGATTTAAGTTTATTATCATTTGAAAGTGGAATAAAAATAGTAATACCAATCTGAATATCAAACATACAGGCTTCAATTCTTATATATATATATATATCATATATCAGAGCAAGCTTAGAAGACATTGAACGGAGTTTTGGAGGAAAAGGGACTTAGATAAAAATAGCCTGCTTAGAGAATACAAGGCAAAGGTTTATTTGATGAAATATTACATTGTACAGCTACTTATGTCCTCTACGAGAGAAAATTCTTTCTTAAAATTGTTTGCGAGAAAAAGTTTCGCGGAAATCGGGAAGAAACACACACGATGAAGAATCACAAGATTAGGTGATAGAAACACTCTTCTATCCTTTATATTATACTCTCTGTGTTTGTCTGACGTAAAAAGTTTGGTATAGAAGGTTTTTTTTTATATATTTTTGTGCAAATATACCCGGCAGGGGTTTTGTTTCTTTCTCTGACTACGGAAAAAGGTTTTCAAAAAGAGGGTAGAGGGAAAGAATAAAAGTTTTGAAAAAGTTTGCGATATATTACAGGTGAAATTTGATAGTAGAGCTGGGCGATATATCGTGAAACAATTATTTTTTTAACATCGCGATAACGATATTTTGAAAATGTATTTACCGCGATATATATCATGAAAAATAAATATCAAATTAACGAAAACAACAAAGTAATAATGTCACTATTATCAACAACGATAAATACCAAATACGATAAAGTCGCGAGTACTTATAAATAATAATGATTATTGAAAAAAAATACCGTTTTATCTTTATAGACAACGATGAATATCAAACACAACCATTGCACGGATCATATCGATAGTGGTAATTATCGACTATGCGAATACATTTATTATCAACGATAAATGAAGAAAATCGCGAGTTTTATCGAAAACAATAATTAACCAATAACTATCGTTAATGATAATTATCGAATAATACAATATTATTGTGACTGTTAACAAACTGTATTTTTGTAATGAAAATATTGTCCAAAGTAACAATAAAGTTAATTAATTAAATTGAAAAAATATCGCAATGTATCGTGATAAACCGATACAATTTGACGATATATCGCGATATTAAAATCACCCAGCGTAGTTTATACTTTCAAATTCATATGGTTTGAAAAAAGCTGTTTACCTATTTACAGAGAATTCATTTCATATAGATATATTTATTTATATATAATATATGTAAGTTTATAATATATATATCTGTAACATATGCCATCACAGAGAATTGTATATTAAAATGACAGGTAAATACGGGGTGAGCAAATAAGGAAGGTAAGTTTTTCTCTAAGTATAGAAAGTAAAAGAAATCTTATAATTTTAATACTTAGAGAAAAATTTATAAAACAATACATTTAAACAGTTGCAAGATTGATAAAAAGCTTTAATGGGTATTGAAAAAAAAAACTCCACAGTTTCTGACTAATTATACTTTTGTATTTACCAAAATGTCCTGACCTGTACTAATAAATACTTATTGTGTAAGTAAAATGAATAATTGATTTAGAATGACTAAATATTGCACCTAAGGATTTTAATTAATATTTTCCCCAGCTGACATCATTTTATCTAAATTTCTATTGGCCCTATTTTTTTTAAAGGCAATAAAAACTTTTCGCATGAAGTAAAGGAAAAAAAATTATTACTCCTTCAGTCAGAATAACTTTACAAATTTTGTGCGTGTTTATTTCAAAATGCCTTTTGTGCTGCAAACAAGTGAACTTGCTGTCATTTTATCAATATTTTAGAAAGGATAAAGATTCACTAAAGGACATTTAAATGCATTAATTAATAATAAAATGAAATCCTTTTTTTAAAAAAAAAACAGTGATCTGGCACTGTGAAATCAAATCAGTTTGATTTACTGCAATGTTGCATTTCAGCAATTTATACGCAATATAATTGTCACTTATTTACTTGTTTTATTTTCGGAAAATTTACATAAATTGCAAACGGCATATTTTTATTGATTATCTATTTTTTTCATACTTCTTTAAAAATCTATTGAACCTTCACAATCTTCATTCAAGTTTATAATTAAAAATTTTATTTAATATTTACTTTAGGTGCAATATCTTCGATTTTATTTGTATCATTCTAAAATTACGCATAGAGTTCGAATTTAGATGCTTTTAAATAGTTAAAGAAACTGTTAATTCGGAGTGGCTTAGCACCTGTGTTGATAAGTTTGAAAAAATAGTTTGTTCTTTACCTCCAGAAGAAGTTGATCATGTCCAAACATTAGTTACTTTACATTTACAGGATATCTAAAGAGTGAGCTAGTTTGATCATACTTTAGACATAATTTTGTAAACTGGTGAAGAAACAAAAATGGCAGTTTTAATTCAAACAAATTGGTAATTAGTTAGAATTAATAATTGGCTATTAAAAATAAAATTGATGAATGGAAAAAATTTTGAAAGAAAAATAATGCTAATTGGATTCTTTTTTCCATTTCAGAAAAAAATTTAAACACTTATATAAAATGGTATAAAAAGCTAAAAATTATATGTAATTGAAAATACGGAATATTAGTTAACAATAGCAAGCATAAACTGATGAAGAAAAAAATGGCTAAAACAAATACGTAAAGAGTCAATTGATAACAAGAAGAAAAAAAAGAAAATTGAACTGTGAATTGAAAGAAATGTTGAAAAAAATAATTTTAATGTTACGTTGATTTTTTTTCATTTAAGAAGAAATATTATTGATGCCAAAAGCTTTATGAAAAGATTAACAAAAGGAGTCATATGTATTTGAAAACTATAATAAACATAAACTGGTGAAGAAAACAAAATGACAGCTTCCGATTAAGAAAAATTGGTAATTAGTTAGAATTAATAGATAATAATTGAAAAAGTATATAAAGCTGCAAACAGAAAGAAACGTCAAGAGAAAAAAAATTTTTTTAAAGGTTTCTTTTAATTTTTCCACCCAAGGAAAAAAATCATATTAAAAGCTAAATAAAATGCTAAAAATGCGAACAAAATGTGTTTGAAAAAAAGGAAAAATAGTTAGCAAACTATAGCAAACATAACCAAATAATAAAAACACAAGCTAGGTTTTGCATTTTATTGGATTTAAAATAATTCTATAAGAAATATATACAATTTTCTTTTCAAAATACGACAAAGAAAAAAATACACTTTGTATTTTTTAAAAAAAAGAATAAAATCTCAGTTTTAAAAATTCATTGCAAATAATTAATTTAAATAAGAATAAAACGTTTCAATAAGCCTTTTTTTACATAATTGCATTTCATCATATATTACACTTATTAATATTGCATGACAAGAAGCCTTATTGAAACTACAACGAAATTACGAACATGTATATATATATATGTGTGTGTTTGTATAAAAAACAATACAATAAAAGGATATTAACTATTATTCTCCATTTAATCCATCACCAGTTTACAAAGAAACATTTAAATAAATTAAATTTTGTGTGATTTTGAGGAACAGTGGGAACATGGTATTATAATCCTATCAATGAAATGATTCCTTTTTCAACAAATGCAATATAGACATATGTAAGTCGATTCATAAGAAATGCTTTAAACAATAAAGAAGATAGCAACTAACAGAAGATAAAAATGCAATGATATATTTGAATGTAACAAATGGGGACATATAAGAGCACCATGAGGATTTTCAATCCATCGTCTACACAACACATAACATAAACAACTTACAATTAGATTAAAAAAAAAAAAGAAACACACAACACAATCTTAACTAAAATTTCTTGTATTACTCTCATTCATAATACTGCAACTACAATACAAATAAGAATATTACTACTTTCAGGTTGTTCTTGTTATACATATTTAAATTTACATCGAAAGATATTTCATACACAAGCAGTGACATTGAAAAGTGAAAAAAAACTAAATTGAGAATTATCAGCTAATAATTCAGAACTGGCAACAACAGCTTCAATAATTATTTCAAATATAATATTTAATTAAAATCAAAATATGTTAGTTTAAGGTAAAAATTGTTCAATAATACATGAGCGTTGATAAAAATTTCAATACATTAACTGAAAAACTATCTACTTAATTTTCTGATTCATTTATGTTAAAGTAATTAAACAGTGAAAAATTCATACAAAATGAAATGAATTTTTTTTAACGTTAGCAAACAATGCGTAACTGTCATCAATAGTTCAATAATTTATCTTATGAGCAATATTGAAATTTATACATGTTTGCCTCTGCTTACAAGAATAATTAAGAATTTTATATCACCTTTTTGATAAAGCAAATTAAAAAAAAAATATTTTTAAGTAAAATCAATTTTGATGCTATAATTTAAAGAATTTCAGCTTAATTTTCTTATTTGTTGATGTCAAAATAATATTTTTCTATGAATTTAAAAACTGATCAACGGTGATTTAAATTTGGAAACTCATTGTTTCAAAACCGAAGCTTTTGCTTAACATAAGAAGGTAATTTTAATTTCTTTTAATTGATTGAAGTTCCTTTTTTAAAAAAACAGAAAAGAGTAAAATTTTATAATTATAATATGTCCATAATTTAGTTTTTTCTATAAATCATAACGGTTCATAGATTTATAATGAATTATTAACACTACAACATGCAAATAAACTTTTGATTTTAAATTTATAAAGCAATGTAGAAAAAAAATTATTTTTACGGTATGGGGAGTATAATATTGTTTCAAATTTTTCCTATGATTAACTATCTAAAACAGAATGATTATCATTATCTTTTTGTTAAAGAAAAAAAAAACATTTTCTGTACATTTTGCAATTCTTACACCTCAAGAAGAAGCATACACGACACATTTTAGTATCATTTGAATTTTTATTCTAATTTATTAATAACTTATAATTATTTATTAACTTTGAATCGTTTACAGTTTTATTATTCAAAAATTATATTTGTATAAAAGAAAGAAACTATTTTATACTTTAACTTGCTGAAATGTTAAAATTGGGAAATCTATTCAACAGGTAGCAAACATTTGCTCGTCAGTTTTTATTGTTTTAATCATTTTATAATCTTAAATGTTAAGGTTGTCGTATACCATTAAAAAAGTCATTGTTATTTTAATTTCATAGACATTTTTAATCAGTATTTTTCTTTTCAAATTGGTGATGATTTCAATTTGATAACTAATATTGTTTCAGTTACGATATTTTAACTCAACAAGACACATTACTTCACAAGTTTACAGTCCATTTAAATTTGAATGCAGTAAATAACTTATTATTTTATCACAAAACGCGAATAAAAATTAATTATCTGCTCTCGTTGGTTTTTTTCTTCTCCTTAATGGATGAATCATTATTCTTATGTTCAAAACATTTTCATTAATTTGATAATATATTACAAAAATAAAACAAAATTAGATTTCTGTAATTACAAAATATGAATTAAAATTTAATTACAAAACCTTCTCTTATGGCGAAAGTATTGTAAAACGATTAAAATCAAGTTGTGATGCATGTGAATAAATTAAACTGAAATACACCCCTTTTTAATAGTAAAAATTTTAACAATAAAATGTGACAAGAAGGAGAACAAAGCTACCCTAACCGATTCCCTATGACTAAAAAAGCTCTTATAAAAGACACTTTGCAAGAGGAAAAGTGAAAGTTTGAAATTGTTTATTGTGATGTTGTGAAAGATTAAAATATTCTTCTCTCATCTAAAACAATCGATAAATATTTGTGCTAAACACAATACTGGTGAGTCATACTCAATAATACTTAAATAATGTAAAGTATCCCCAAACTTAGCGTTTCATTCAAAATATTAACAATGTAAAGACAAATAATCGCGTGCATTTTATGCATCTTATGAAAAAAAAAATGAATTCGCACAACACAAGTAAGGTTTTAGAATCCTTCCGTAAAAATTGTTTCTGGAAGGATTTGGATGTTTAACATTTCACTCGGGAATATAACATATAAAATTTGAAATTTTTCTTTACTCTTTTTGTTGATTGGCACCACTGTTATATGGACTGAGCAACAGTTTTTAAATGCATGAAAACTCTTCCATTTCATTGTTAAGCATTTTTATTTCACTCCATTTAATAAAATATAGTTAAGCTGCAAACTGAAACAGAATTTTATATTTTGTCTCTACCATAGCTATATAATTTTAATTGGTTTCTGTACTCAAGTTATCTGAACATGTTTGAATAAAAATTAGAATTACAAAATTTTTAAAAGGAAAACATTTAAGCATAGTAATATATTAAATGTTTTTAGTGTAAAATGACTTCATGATATTTTCATCTACTCATAATAATTTGTACAAACATTTCGCAGGAATAAATTAGATGTTAAAGAATTCAATTACAACTCATTAGTCTGACGTATTGTAACACAAATTAAAATTTTTTTAATGTAATCTAATTTTCTGTAATGCAATATTCAGACCGTTTTAAATTAAATGTGTTATTAGAAAAAAGCAGCTTAAAGTGAAATGCAAGAGCTTTCAGTTCGGGGTAAATATTTGACAAGAACATTTAAAAGATAAAACATGAAAAGAAATATTTACACTTTGTTAAACTAAATGCAATTTTTTTTTCATAAACCAATCGACTAGAGATGACCTAGTCCAAAGATCATAAATAGAATTGAAAAGACGAATGCACTAATATCGCCGTATGCAGGTTCATGGGTCGGCAGCGTTCTGAAATAAGAGCCACCTGGCGGTAAACAGGTGCACCATGAAGAAAGGCATCGTTGTAATAATATCTTGTGTTACGAGGTTGTAAAGGACCCAAAAAACACGATAACGTACAATAAGAGATCGAAACTTTTTTCATTTCAAAATGGGTAGAAAAAGAGAACATTTAAAGTAGTGTTCAAGATTTACAATAACTTGTGCAAGACGAACACACAAATGCATTTTTAAATGGAGAAAAGCTTCGTTCGAAAATTTCATGATAACGTAAAATGAAAGAAGAAATAAAATAACTCTGTTATTAACTCTTTTTACACTGCGAAAAACAACAAATGAGAATTTCTTTTTTTTGATTCCGTTCAAAAGATTTATACTGCGATCAGTCTTGAAATAGCAGTGTGTGCTCTTTTTCACTAGCTCAAAATATCATATTTACAATAGTGCTTTACAAATGCCATATACAACATGGCTGTTCTAGAAGATAAAATAAACTAAATCAGCTACACAAAGTAATCCGGCGATTAGCATCAATGAAATAAGAGGACAACGTCAAAAAGGGAGATCTGTATACAGTTAAAAAGAACACAAGTGAGGTACTACTTCAGTACGCAAACCACGTTTTGCTCTCTGCAGCCAGCTCAGAGTCGAAACGATGCTCATTTTTACAAGTATGCTGCAGCAGATTAAAACATTTTATTTTAAGCTCGTGCTCATTGCGTTGCTCATCTGTATCAACATCATCGAAGCATGCCATTTTGTCAGTTTAAAGGGAAGATTGTTCAACAAGCTGAGCAAAAATCGGTGTGCTGAAATTTGACAAGGCGTGAGAACAGTAAGATTGAAGAAATAGAATTATGTATCACATTACATTGCAGAGAATCTCAGCCTGAGTCATCATAAACACAAGTCCTTCAACATTTTTTTTTATTCAACACTACAAAATGTTTGTAACTCGTGAAATTGAATCGATTGATTTAAGGCCACTCTTTGTATTTTTTTACACCGGGATAATGTTTACATGAAATCTATGGTGCGAATTTATAACAATGAGATGATGATTTTCATCCACTCATTCATCAGTATCTATTTTGACTTCTGGCACTTTAAAGCTGCAAACATTTGCAGTGAACCTAACAAATGCACCACAAAAATGTGTAGAACCAAACGTTCAGAATTCCCAGTCATCTCCAACATCTTCTTTTTCTAGCCTTTGTTGGAGTTTTTCAATATTTTTTCGCCTATCCTTAGCTTCGGCATCATCCCAGCTTTCATCATCATCTTCTTCTTGCTCATCCAGGAAGACTGGTTTTTTGAGCGTCGTTCGGTCCATTGCGTTTATACACATAAGTTTGTCTTTCGCCCTCCGTTCCGAAGGTTCTCGGTCACTTACACCGTTTGTCATACCCTCCGATTCATTGTCCGATCGGTCAGGGCTGACTAAAGCAGTCCTGCGGAATTTTTCGTTGCGATTTGAGTGAGACTTTCTTGACGAACGATCGTCTGGTGCTGGTGCGGGTAAAACATGAACCGTTTCAACTCTGGGTGACATTAGAAGATCAAAGTCTTCAGTTTGTCGAACACAAACACCGTTAATAATTTCTTCCTGTTCGTTACCGCTGTCATCGCCTAAGCGATCATCATCCAAATCATCTTCCTCATCTGTATTCTCAGGCGATAACTCGAGACCAGGATCAACCCATTGAGGCATAGCGGGTTTCCGTCGGTTACTGCTTCCACTTGTTACTACTGAGGACCTCATGTGTTCATTGGGTACCGACGTCCTCAAGGGTGAAGAGTCTCGATGATTTGGTGGATGATCGTCATCTATGGAGTCTCGGTCACTGTTATCATTTTGCAAATCTTGTGAAAGATTAGAGTCATCGTTCATTTCGCTGTTGGAACGATCGTCAGTGCTGCTGCCCCCATTGTTATCAACCTTGCTACCACTATGAATAGCATTTCTTAATTGACTAGACATGCTTAAGTCTAATGTTCCCATATCGTCACCAGAAGACGATAGAGGAGAACAATTTCTGTAAGGAGAATATAAATAGGGCATATTTGCACCAAAAGGAGGAAATTGCGGTTGTTTATCTCTAGCTTTTTCAGCGAGTCTCTGGTTTAAGAGTAAACGGTATTGCACAGGGTCAAAAGCCATGCCTTCCCTTACGGGAGGCGGAAGAGATAAGTCAGGTCCTTTCCTCCCATGTTCATCGTCAGAATTGGCATGCTGCTTCATTCTCATTCTGTGATTATGGAACCAATTTGTAATAGTCCTCACTGATAGATTAAGTTCAGTAGCCAGAAATTCGATAGTTGCCGTACTAGGATAAGGATCCAGTGAGAAAGCCAATCTCAAGGCTTCCTTCTGCTCCTCAGTAAATAAGACACGTGGTTTCTTGGCAGGAGGATATGGTGACGGTGGAGCAAAGCTGTAATTAAACATCTGTCCACCGTCTGATTGACTTCTTGGACTGTCCATGGGGCCATCTCCAGTTCTGCGACGCTTGTTTGCTGGAAACAAAAAAATTAGTGAATACTGTTATAAAGTTAAGCCGCAAATTAATATCGAAGTATAGAAAAAGTAAAAAAAAAAAATCAAAATTTGACAAATGACCCTTGTGAAAGGCGTATCTAAAAATACTAAAAACCAGTTTAATTGCCGTAAGAAATTTTAATGTATTTCTGATAATCGCCTTTTGCTGCCTTTTCTACTTCCTGCTTCAATCAAACAGGCTTTTATGTTTTAATCTTACCCATCTTGAGAACTGATTCAGCAAAATTGGATATCTTTTTTATTTGTTTCGTGCATAAATATTAATTAGAAACAACTAAAGTGTTATATTTTAAATTTCTTTTTCAATAAGAATTCTAAAAAGTTGGTGGTTATGGGATATCCTATCTACCATGAAATAAAGTTCTTTGATCAGTTTCAAAAAGAACAAACCACGCACCCTTCCTAGCTTAACATATTAGTTTTGATAAAAGAAAAAAAAATTATGCCATTTTTCCCATTTCCCATACTACATATCTTGACAGCAATATGGCATATGGGCTACTGACATAAACGTGTTTTTTTTTTATTTTCTATAAAACTAAAGTATTCACCTCTATAAAAATATAAAAACACTTACTCATAGCGAAATTTCATGACGCAAAAATTTTTTTATTTTAAAGTTAGATTACATTTTGATGTTGAAAATATATATCTCAAAAATAGTACAGAAGTGAAACTTAATATTTTTTTTGTTTCCTCTTTTTAATTATGAGTTATAACCAGTGATAAAATTTCGACATTCACGAAAACATGTGTTGTACAAAAACGAAACTGTCACATTTCCTTACCTTCTCTTCTCTCATTCTTTATGGTTTGCAGCATTTCCACATTATGAGGATCATTGAGCCACATCTGCATCCTTATGAATGGTTCTCGCCCTTTTATGCTTAACATGTGCCACGGTTTTGGTTTTGAAAGCAATTCGCTAACAGATCCTTGAGACAAACCCAGTACAACTTCGCCAAATATCTATGTGTAAAAAAAAACATTTAGTTTACGTATTTTTCAAAAAAAAAATAATAATTTAAAAGAAAAAACCATTGCTGTAGGTCAGTGTTTCCCAAACTTATGAATTTTGTGTACCCCTTCTAAATTTTTTGTAACGCTGTGTACCCCCAGTAAAAAAATAAATGTATTTTTTACCATAAAAAATGCACAAAAGTTAAAAATCACAACTGGCTGTTGACACCACTAATAATTAACTATTAACTCTGCAAAAAATAGCCAATAGAAAAATACGTAATCGTAAATTTTCATGGCTAGTTTTGTTTTCAAATAAAAAATTTTGAAATTTTCATATTTTGCAAGATATTTCGCATAAGAACGCGCACCCCCGCTAAACTGTTCCCGTACCCTGGGGGTACGCGTACCACACTTTGGGAAACACTGTTGTAGGTAAACATATCATTTTTTTAAACATTGAACTGTAATATTATTCGATTTTTTTCCTCTCAATGTCAGCTCAATGATTAATCAAACCTATAATTTTACTTAAATTTTAGTTTGCGGCAAAACTGATTCAACAGCTTAATTCAATAGTTAAAAATAATTTTCTGCGAAAAGAATATTTTCTTGCTTACTGAATTAAAATATAAGTTTACATTAAATCAAAGAAATTTCAACAGTTAAATTAGTTATATTAGTAAGGAATGATGATGAACGCATTATAGCTTTATGCATGATTAAATAGCATTAAAATTTTATAGTAAGGATGCAGCAGATTTGGACTTTAGTTCAATTTAGCATAGGAGAACATGATTCAATTCGGACAAATTCCAATACTTTACCTTCTGGCCAATGTTGTGCGCCATTAAAGCCTCTTTGATCTTTGAAGTGATGATCTGCGTATCTAAATCAGTGGTGAGAGCTGCCATTTCATACACAGATGGTTGGTTGTATCCCCGAGTTATTGTGGGTGTTTTTCTACTGAGAATAGAGTTCTGAGAAGAGGTGTTGTTGCTTGAAGTCACAGTCAGAGAAATGGGCATATTGTCTGGAGTTGTGCACACAGATCGAGGTGTATGGTTATGAGGTGTGTACAGAGAATTGTTCTGAGTTAGATGCCGGTTTTCCGAAGCCCTTAGGTTAGATTCTATGGGTCTTGGACTCATCTTATTAGACCCTGGGAAAAAATTACATATTTCTTAGACAAAATTTAAATAAATTGTTTTTGAAATTTGAAAGTAGAAGTAATAAAACAGAGTCTTACCGCCAAAAGTCATGATACTTTGTGGATTTGTGGCTCCGCCAAAGCTACCCGTTCTCATCAGTTTTTCAGGAGCAATTTTATACTGAGAGGCAACCAGTTTGTGTACAGCATTCTCATCTTCCAGAAAAATTTTCATACGAATGAAAGGTTCTCGTCCTTTTTGCGTAAGCATGTGCCACGGCTTTGGGCGAGCTAGAAGATCGGACACTGATCCCTGAGATAGTCCAAGCACACTTTCACCAAATAGGCGCTGACTAATGGAATACTGACTCAACTGTTCCTTGACCTAGAAAAAAAACATATTATTTCCAATATAAAAATACCAATTTAATAAGAAAAAATGCAGGAAACATCAGTAATTAAAATCATTCTCTCATTTATACTTATTCATTTCTAGAAAAAAAAGAACTTTTCTTATTTCTATTTATAATAGTAAATAGCATAAATCTTATCAATTCAAATGTAATTAATTACCTCGGAATTAAATTTTGAATAAATATTTAGCCATTAAATTATTATAAAACAGAACGAGAAGCATAAAACTGATAGAAAAATATTTCTTTTTCTGAAGTGATAATTTTTTTTAATAGAAAATTTATTTTCAGAAATGATTGTGTGATATTTTAATTTGGCTAGAATTATGACTTTAAATCCGAGAGTATTTAAAATCTTCCAGATTGATGTTAACGCGAATTTAAAAAAATTAAGAAACTAAAATTTAAGTTTAAAAAAATTGCTTCAAAAGAAAGTAAAATATTTTCAATTTGTGATTAGAAAATAAATAAGACAAAAAAGAAAGATTTTTATCCATTGAAAATGGAACAGAAGTAAGCTTAGGTTAAAGGGATGCTAAATCGCTTATTTCAAGATAAGGAATCAATATATACCCTATTATTAGCTTAGGTTAAAGGGATGCTAATCGCTTATTTCAGGATAAGGAATCAATATATACCCTATTATTATTATTACTTATTTCAAGACACGGTTATGTCTTTAAAAAAATCTTACCTTTTTAACAATATCTTCGGTGTTGACATTGTTATACTGATCAAACTGCTGCTGAGTAATTGGGGGAAGAACAGCTTTGGCAGGCCTCTGTGGAGGATTGGGCAAGGATGGCAGCGATGACTGTGAGAGAAGAGAATTGGTGATGGACTGCATTCTTTGCAATGGGGAAGCTGATGTAGTCAGATCTTCTGTTCCTGACTGAGGTGCACCGGGGCTCGACGTCTTCGATTCCGATAGAGGCAGAAGAGCTGGAGGTGCTGGTGAGGGACTATGCAGGCGATATGAAGTAGGTGTAGGAGTTGATGAAGACTTAGAATTCATGGAAGAAGAAATATTATTCTCAGTCTTAGGTCTCACAAGGGAAAAGGCACTACCATGATGTCTCATCTCTGGTTCCTCTCTCCCTGAATTTGAATTCTTTGACTCAGATCTAGATCTGTTACTCATGGTTGCATCGACTGGGCAATCTTGATGAGCCTGATTACTATTGCCATTAGTTGTTGCGTTGTTTAACGCGGAATTACTATTGCTGTTATGGTGGTGTGAAAGACTGTAAGAGCTGCCATTAGCTGTAAAAGGATTAAAGTTCGGATGATGATTAGGAGGCATTAAATGAGATAGTCTAGTTAGTTCTTGGTGGTATATGGTTAAGGCCTGCCGAATCTCTTCCTGTGTTCGTTCGAATTGGTCTCTGGGTGTCCTGAACCCTTCCTCGACTCTCTGCCCAATGAGCTTGGCGAGTTCTTCCTGGTAAATTCGGGCGACCATTTCTTGAGGAATATCATCGTTTTCATATTTACGAGATCTTCTAAAAGATTTATCGCTATTGGATAAATTATCTCTCGAATTTCCGAGGTTATATTTTGAGTCACTGTCGTTACGGAGATCATCGGAGCTGTCAACAGACCGATTATCGCCATTTGGCAGTGAAGATGGACTTTTTTGTTCCTGCTGTTTCATCATAGCCATCTGGGCCTCATTGAGAATTTGGGCTATCCTTTCCTCAGCTCCTTGGTCATCGTTTTTGTATGAAGATAGTCCACCGCTGTTTCCAGTGCTTCCGATGCAGTCTTTTCCTGGTGGGGAAGAAAGAAGAGTTGATCTTCTCTCAGCAACTGCAATTATTAAGTTCAATAATAGTAACAATCAAAAGCATGATCTAACATGCTTTTTCTAAAGATACTTTACTAATTTAGAAAAAATATATGATAACAAAAATCAATCAGAATAAACGAAAAAAAAATACATAAATTAATCATAAATAGTTACAAGTTATTGTAGTAACAAAGCAAGGAAAAGTTTTGGCTTCCCCTCCCCCGTCCAAGTTTTAAAAAATTAGAATGACATTGAAGAAAATTGTGATTTATAAGCAATAAGCTTTTTAAAAGTAATGAAAAGCTAAAATATATCAGTATACCTTCCTTCCGAGATAAGATGGAGTAGGTTAACGAAAACAAAGCTATTTCTCGCGAATTCAAATACTTATTGAACTATAAATACCTAGTTATAATAATTCTATAATTGAAGCCACACAATTATTATGCTTAAATTATATTTTGGAGTCTGAAGGGTTTCGTACTCGTAGCTACAGTAGAGTGATGAAGCTATTTCTCAGACATATTATTTCAAAAAATAATATTTTACATTGTTTTTAGTTCATTCCTTATAAAATTCCTACAAATGTATTATTTTCAATTCTGTTTCTAAATTTAAGCACACAACTTTTTTTTTATTTAAACGAAATATATTTTATTTAAAAAGGAATTAAATAAAAAAAAAAATTTCGATTAATACATACAACGTTAAAAAATGAGTTGTTTGTTTATTTTAGAAAACTTAACTTGAGCAAACAAACCATAAAACAATTTCTCAGTAGATAACAAGAGCCTTAATACAAAGAAATCGGAAAAAAATTTAAAATTTGAAAATTTTTTATTTATCTAAAAATTAGTTTAAAAAAGTTAATTAAAAAATAATTAAAGTTCTGAATATTGAACTCTAAGAATGATCCTCGTCGTTTATCAATTTTTCATCCGTTCCATAATTTTTAGATATAAAACTGAAATTTTTCTGGAGTAACAATCATAAAAAATTTAAATGTAAGAATTTTTGCAAACTTTCGTCATTAAATATCACAAAATCTAAAATAATGTATGTCATTTTTTTCCAAAACATTTAAAACAAGTTATTTTTATTTTAATTATTTTTCTATGAATTTCAATTTCGAACGTAACAATTGTTTTTACCATTAAATACAATCATTGTAGTTTTAAATGTTTAAGTTTTTTTTTTATTTTCATTATTTTTCTATGAATTTCAATTACGAACGTAACAATTGCTTTTACTATTGAATAACAATCATTGTAAATTTAAAGACTCTATGATATTATTAAAGATCATGAGAGTTTGAATATTTTTTACGATATGTTTAAGTATTAAATAGGTAAGAAAATTACTAATAAATGAAGTTCAAACTCTTTGGTTCCTTCTAAGAGTTATTCAATTATTTTTTTAATACAACTAACTTAAATTTTAATTTATTGGTGGGCGCGGTCTTTTTCTTTTGTTGATAATATTGTCTTCCTCACAAGACTCGAAATTGTTTTCTGCTAAGTCCAGATAATACAATTAAGTTTGTTTAGCTTTTTAACTATTCACTACTTTGTGTTCACGAAATATTTGACCAAATATATTTATAGGAATACTTTTTTCTTGAAATTTCTCATAATTTACTTATGTATATTCAGTATCACGCTCCAAAATGTCAAAAATTTTTTTGAAATAAAACAAAAAGTAGTTAGACAAGATTGTTTTAGTAATTTTACAAATAATTTCATATCTAATATTAAGACTGGATAATCCGTAACTACCCCATAATTATATACATTTGGAATTCCCATCAAAACTGAAGCCGAAAAAGTGTACATATTACATGTCACGAATTAGTATTTAAATAAGAAAAAAAAAAACTTCATCTAATGAATCACTAACAATGAAAATGGAACTGAAAACTTTAAAATATGTCTAATTGTCTGATGAAATTCTGAGGTACTCTTAATTATCGTCATTCATCTCCCCTCTGCTCTTTCTTGCAATAAAAGAAGTATTGATATTTACTGCCAAACCTTCCTCAGTAGTGATTCGTCAGATTTCAATTGTTTCTCCCCCGTTTAAATATTATTTTGCGTCCCATGAGGAGACCTCTTTGACTTAATTTTTAAAAACATACATGTATATAATAACGTTGTTGCAACTTGAGCATAAAAAAAATCATAAAATAAATAGAGACTTGGATTAAATTATTTCGTTAGGAAAATGAAACGAAAAAGCAATTATTACCTCTTCTCGGCACCAATGATTTCAACATTCCTATGCATTTGTCATCGGAAGCCCATGCATGCATTTTTCTGTAAGAGTCTCTTCCCTTTTCAGTTAGCTTATCCCAAGGTTTAGGTTTAGAGAGCAGTTCGCTCACAGTTCCTTGTGACAGACCGAGCACAAATTTGGCAAAAAGTCTCTGTCCGATATTGTGCACGCTCAACAACTCTCTCACACACCTCGCAATGTTCAGGGTATTCAGAGTTTCGTTTGCATATTTGTCTATATTTTGCCTCAAACAGTCCTGAAGTTTGCTGAGGGAAGAGTTATCGCTCACGGGCGATGTGACTTCTTTGATGGATTGGCTGTTGCCAGACGGGGAAGACCTTTCGGATGTGAGATTGATGGGAGGAGATGGTGGGTTGTCCATTGTTCCATCCAGAACTGGTGGAGTTGGCTTTCTGTCTTCTTGGGAGATGGTGCTTGCAGCTGATGAAGGTGGGTAGCCATCGCTGTTTTTAGACACCGGAGATGAAGGCCTGCTGCATACTTCTTCTTTTGCAACAGTTTGAGCATAGTCTCTAACAATCTCCTGGCCCAACATTGTGCCAAAACTGTCCACGCTTTGAAGTGGGTAACCACCTGATCCTAGGAAAAAAATTATTTCGAAAGTCAACAACTATAAATGTAATTCAAAAAAATCTTACATGCAAGAGAATCTGTATCAGTAATAGACACATCGATAAATTTTTATTTAAATCAACTGACCTTTTGTGTCTGAAAGCGTAGAAGAATGCTACTTTTAAAAATGCCATTAAACGCCATTTGGAAAAGTTTATTTTTTTGCAGATACCTGATCTTTTAAACTATGCGAATTTTAAATGTCACTTTACGGACAATGTTTCCATTATGCACTATCGAATTACTTTAAAATGTAAAATTAAAGAAACTCTATTATTTTATTTATTTACTTTTTTAGAAAATTTTACAAAAAATCACCTTACTTAGAGGCTTTTCCCTGGTGACAGAACTCACACGTAATTTTATTGTTTTAAAATTTTAATGAAAAATCCGTAAAAGTTCTAAAAGTTATTGTGTGATATTTCTTCCAATCTTATAAAACGATGCCTTAATTCCCTACTTTTATCAAAAGGTTATCTGCAGTAATGTAATACTGCATCATCAATTCAACCTAAAATATAAATCACAAAGAAACAGGACTTTTAACGCAGCTTAATTTAAAAAACTAAGTTAAAAATATTAACTGTGAACATAGAAAGGATATTACGTGTTTCTGATACTGAAAAATAAAGTTTTGTTTTTGGAACTCAATATAGTTAATTTAGATGACATCTTTAGTTCCAAACAGAGTTTAGAACTAAAAGCATAATCTTACCATTCTCTTCAGTTTTAACCTTTACTGGTGTACTGTCAGATGATGGAGATTTGTGGTTTTCTTTAATGAGGTCCGGAGGCTTGTCATTTTCATTTTTGTTTTCATCAGTTTTCTCCCATGATTTTGAATTATTGAAATTTACTGTTTTTAAGACACTGAAAAAGAAAGTATTCATTTCGTAATTTTGAAATTTTAGCGATCTTATGTCATTACTTATAAAAATAAATACAATATTTATAGAAATGCCCGATAAAATTTCAAAAGTTTAAGGGGAAATCCATGATTATGATCATTACGAAATGCTTTTAATAGATAAAAATAAAAAGGAAAATCATCCAATCTTTGGAAATGTGATCAAAATCATTAGAATAAAAAGTATAGTTGAATTAAAAATGTCTTTTTGTTTTTCACTTATCGGAGATAAAACCTTGCAACAATGAAATAAAAAATATTTACTTGCATTAAATTCAAAATAAACTTATTAACAAATGCTTTGACTTTTATGAAAATATAAATTCTCTCAAATATAATCGAATGGGAATTATTATAATTTAATAGCACTTAATTCTAAAGAAAGAAAATTTGCTTACCGAAGTTCTTTTTTAATTTCGTCGTAATCTTGCTGTCTCACCAATTTTTCACCCAATTCTACAATCATTTTGTCCTTTTCGTTGACCAGTTCTTCAAGTTGAGCAATCTAGGGCGAAAAAAAAATATTTAATATAATAAAACGCATTTTGATTTTTTTCAGAACTAAATAAAAAAAAAATAATTAAATTTGTGAAGGTGTTACTCAATGTCAGGAAGAGCACGATCTCTTCTAAAATGTGCGACGAGATTAAAGATTGGGTCATATCAATTACAGTCATTTTCTTTCTAATTTATAACTCACTTGATCTACATCTCTAAATTTAAATCCAAGCAATAACTAAAAACTCGTACATTAAAAAATAATAAAAAACATTTTAAAGCCGATTCATTAAAAACAATTTTCTTAAATAAATGTATAACGTCGGCATTCAATTCAATTGAAGCAATGAATTCGGTTATTGCTGTGAGATTAGAGCTAATTGCATAGAAATATACAAAAAGAAAAACATTATAAAATTTTCTTAAGATTAAAAGTGAGTTTTATATCTTCCTTGCCGATTATAAGATGAGATAAAACATTTTTAACAATTTGTGGTGACTGGGATCACACTATTTTGGAAATTTACAGCAACCTCCACAAGGTTTCAAGTTGAATTACAATATAGTGCATATTAACTTAATTTTAAACTTGATCACATGATATTAGGGTTTAACTTGAACTGAAGTGTTTAACTTGGTCATTTATTGTTCTACATTGATTTCTTTTTCTTTAGACTATTGAGTCTAACGAACAAAAATTTATATTCCCAACCCTAAATATTTTTTATTGTTGCACTTAAAAAAGTGTTAACAATGGTAATTTTCATTAATTTAGCTAAATACCGGAACATCTTAAACAAGGAAAAAGTAACACAATTTGAACATCATTTACTTGTGTAATTCGAATTATAATTAAAAGAAGATAATAAAGAGATTTTATTCGGAAATAAAAAGTTTAAAAAAGACTTAAATTAAAAAATATAAAGCGTAATCTTCAATTGATAGTTTTTCTAAATTGATATTTTTTTTATTTTTATAAAATGGATATTTTCAATTTATTCACGACAACTTGAACACGATTAAAACTCTCAAATTAAGAGCTATGTTTTAAAGATTTAAATAAATTTAGACTTTTTGTTTTCAAAAAGGACTCGTACTTTTTTATTTTATGGTATAGTCATGGTTAGTTAGGTATAGTACATATTATTTAAATGTATAATTTTAAATTCATTGCATAATAAAATTTAAGCAAATTTTAAGAAGAAAAATAAATAAATGCAAAACAGAAACTTACTTTCGAGGCACTTGTCTCTTGTAGAGTGTTTAGAATAGTCTGTAATCTTTGAATGTCATCAATTAATTGGGAAATCTAGAGGAGAATCAAGGAGTTTTAGGAGTTATCAATACTTTTTTACTAATTTTTCAGGAGATTATCATGCTAACATAATTTCAGAATTTTTTTTCATTAAAATAAGAATTTCGTAATAAATTTTTAAGAAATTTTTATTAAATTAATAATGCTTCCAACAAATTTTAGAACATTAACTAATTTTTCATTGAAACAATATTACAATTTTTAAAATTTTTTATTGGAATAATAAGAAAAAAATATGATGATATCTAATACACATAAAAATTATATTTAAGAACAACATCTATAGATTTACAAATGAAAATGTATTTTTCATATTATTAATTTACAAAAATATATTGATATACAAATAAACCCAGCATTCAGGCTTCTATCCTTTAATTTTAGCATTAAAAAAAAAACTCGATATTCATATTTTCTTAAAGACAGCTGTTATGCTACCTTTCAAATTTTGCACAATTTAAAATCTATTTCAATAAAATTTTCTAGAAAGCATTTTAGTACGTTTTCTACTTCAAAAATATCTTGACGTAATTTCTTTAATTCTACAATATCAATTAAAAAATTTAAAGTTAAAAAAGGATAACAAAAAATCGAAATTTATAAAATCGTTTAAAAAATGTATCAATCACAACAATACAATTTTTAAGCTATGAATTGTTAAAAATTTTACATGCTATTTTTTACTTTATTTTTCCTAAAAGAAATTATGAACAGGAAATGTTCCGAAGCACATTAGAAAGAACTTTAAAACAAATATGGTCGAATGTCCTTAAATTATTTAAAATTCCATAGTCTCACATAAAAACTCCAAAATTCCTTTTAAACAATATCTAACACAAATAAAACTAATAAAAACAATAATGCAAAATAAAACTGCGAATGCTGGTATTTTTCATTCCAAACTCATGTTACCTCAAGTTAGTTTTAAAATTAAAGTTTTTGATGTAAACCCACACAAAAACAATGATCTCAATAGTTTTTAGTTTACAAAAGGACTGTTCTTTTAATAGATGGGGATGCAAAATTCTTCCACGTCGTAATACTAACTCTCCAGCTCCCTACCGATTCTTTTAAAGTTTTAATGCAAATTCTTTTGGCAACATAGAGAAAGAGGAAGACGGGGACACATGGAATTTTAAATTGTTTTATATAGTTTATCACTTTCCTGAATGTTCTCTTGGAATTTCTACTCGAGGATTGTATTCTTTACCTGGTGTGGTAGCAAAAGTGCAACTCGTGATAACATGCAAGATTCAAACAAATCACTGCGTGCTTATCGGGCAAGGTAAGTCGTTTACGTAATGAACAAAAGAGAAAAGAATATTCATAAACTCAAGGAGTGGAGGAATGTTCTGTGAACATTACACTTAAAAGATACTAAAAATAAAGAATATAAAAATTTAAATTTGGTTTAAGGTTTGGCATTCTACAAATCTAGAACAAATTTAATTTATAAGAATCAAAATATAAGTAAATTTAAGATGTACTTCAAAATCTTAAATGGATTTACATTAGTATTTCAGTATATATTTAATAAACATCAGTTTTAAAACTTGGGAATTCATTGCTATAAGCATTTTGTTATGATGATTATGTTACGACTTCATAGGCAAATATCAGTTTTTTTAGTTTCTCTTATTTTTTAAAAAATATTATATTGATTTAAAAGATTTAATTTAAATGATTATTAACCTTTAAATAATTAATATAAAATACGTAGCACGCGAACACGAAAAATACTTTCAATTCTGTATCTTTTAAAGGATGAATTTCGAACTGAAAAAGGATGACTCTTAAAAGCTACCTTAAAGTTTAAAAACATTTTTTTTAGATTATTTAAAAATAATTTAAATTATATTTGCTTTTACGTACAATTAGGAAAAACTAATTAAGTAGGATTGATTAAATATTCTCCTCTAAAATAAAGTATTACAAAATATTCATAAAACTTCAATGCAATTAGTTTATAGCTTTCAATAAACAACAATTTAAAATAAACAGGTTTTTAGTTTCAAATTTTTGCCAAGCATAATAATTTCATTTATAATTTTGATCTATCTTCTATTTTTAGCTCTCCTTAATTTAATCTAATATAATATACTATACTTAATTTATTTGCATGAATATATTTACTTTAATTTGAGTCAAAACTGATGAATTGATTAGAAAATAATTTAATCAAGGAGAACTTTGGTTCAAGTATTTAACCATTTGATGCATAATCAATTTTTATTCATATATATATTTTTATTGCAATAAAAATTATGTATTCTCCTATTTAATGTATATTAATCTACAAATTGCAAATTTACTATGACTATAAATAATTGTATAACTATAAATAAATTATTAAAAACTTTATAAATAGATAAAAGAAAAGGCATTTAGATACAGAAAGTTGAGTTCGTGTTTTTTAAATAGCGATAATTGAGCTAGAAGTAATATTTATTTTTTAAATTTAATAGGATTCTTTTGGTAATGATATAATTTTATACTACATTGCATATTTATATCGGAGTAATTTATTCAAATATTTATATCGGAGTAATTTATTCAACTACGCGGTAACAGCAATACCAACATATTCAAATACGAATATTGTTGCATAAATAAATGCGTATTCTTTAAATTTTTAATTAAAAAATTAGGATAATAAATTATATATTCGATAAATTAAAAATTTAGAGAATGAAATAAATTTTTTAACTTTTTCGAGACATTCACTAAGCAACTAACATCAAATAAAAAAAATCATTAAATTTTTAAAGTCACAATTTAAATTTAATGAAAGAATTCCTATGATTGATCTGCTGACACTGGCTGAACTAATGAAAAACTAAATGCACTTGCTTAAATAATCTTTACGAAAATTTCAGAAAAATAAAAATCAGTCAGCAAAAAAAATTACGTCTTATCGAATAAACCGATATTAGTGATAGAAAACTATAAATAAACTGATTTCAAAGTATGTAAATAATAAATAAATTAAATTAAAACTTCTTTCTTTCCGTTTTGAATATTTTTTCCCAATCACAATTCACTTTTTGCTCAATAAATTTTGAAAATTGTCAATTATACTAAGATTAATAGTTTAATTATGTTGACAACTTGGCATGTTTCTTATTGTTTTAAAGTTTAATTTAACGATATAAGACAGAAAGTTATTCAAAAGCATTTACAAATGCATAATTATCTTCACTACTTCTAATCTTCGTAAATTTTTAAATGAATGCGGACATTACTTGGATGGAACGAAGTAGTCAAATTTTAATCAAAACGCTAAAGAAATCTTCTTTAAAAGAAAAGAAAGACCAAACAGATATGTAGGTAAACAAAATTGTTTAAACTAAAAAAAATCTAATAGCTCAAATTCCTAATTAAAATTGCCATGCAGAAATTAAGCATCAATTGTAAAATATTATGTCATCGATTATAAAACGAAAGATAATATGCAAATGTGAATATTTTTTAACTATAAGTTTGGTAATGAGAAGTGTAATAAAGAATTATAATGCTCAAACATTTAATCATTATTTAAACAATAAATAAATTGCAATAATGAGGGATATAAAATTCCTCATTCAATATGATCGGATAAAATTGCTCGAATTGATGTTTCATTAATTTTGACGCAACTTGANCCTTCACATAATTAATATAAAATACGTAGCATGGTAAGAAGAAAAATACTTTCAATTCTATATCTTTCAAAGGATAAATTTCAAACTGAAAAAGGATGACTTTTAAAAGCTATCTTAAAGTTTAAAATAGTTCAAAGACATTTTTTAGATGATTTAAAAATAATTTAAATAATATTTGCTTTTATGTACAATTAGGAAAAACAAATTAAGTAGGATTGATTAAATATGCTACTCTAAAATAAAGTATTACAAAATATTCATAAAACTTCAATACAATTAGTTTATAGCCTTCAATAAACAACAATTTAAAAGAAACAGGTTTTTAGTTTCAAATTTTTGCCAAGCATAATAATTTCATTCGTAATTTTGATCTATCTTCTATTTCGTGCAAATTCAAACACACATATTGTTTCATAAATAAACGCGTATTCTTTAAATGTTTAATTAAAAAATTTGGATAATGAATTATATATTCGATAAATTGATAATTTAGAGGATGAAATAAATTTTTTAACTTTTTCGAGACATTCACTAAAAAACTAACATCAAATAAATAAAATAAAATCATAAAATCTTTAAAGTCACAATTTAAATTTCTTTCTTATGAGTTATCTGCTGACCTGGCAGAACTAATGAAAAACTAAATGCACTTGTTTAAATAAACTTTACGATAATTTCTGAAAAATAAAAAATTAGTCATCGAAAAAATTATGTCTTGTCGAATAGATCGATATTAGTTACAGCAAATTATAAATAAACTGATTTTGAAATACGTGAATAAAAAATAAATGAAATTAAAACTCATTTCTTTCCGTTTTGAATATTTTTTCCCAATCACAATTCACTTTTTGCTTGATAAATTTTAAAAATTGTCAATTATACTAAGATTAATAGTCTAATTATGTTGACAACTTGGCATGTTTCTTATTATTTTAAAGTTCAATTTAATGATATAAAACTGAAAGTTATTCAAAAGCATTTATAAATGCATAATTATCATCACTACTTCCAATCTTTGTTAATTTTTAAATGCATGCGGCCATTACTTGGATGGAACGAAGTAGTCAAATTTTAATCAAAATGTTAAAGAAAGTTTAAAGAAAAGAAAGACCAAAAAGATATGTAGGTAAGTAAAATTGTTTAAACTAAAAAAAATCTAATAGCTCAAATTCCTAATTAAAATTGCCATACAGAAATTAAGCATCAATTGTAAAATATTATGTCATCGATTATAAAACGAAAGATAATATGCAAATGTGAATATTTTTTAACTCTAAGTTTGGTAATGAGAATAAGTATGTGTAATAAAGAATTATAATGCTCAAACATTTAATCATTATTTAAAAAATAAATAATTGCAATAATGAGGGACATAAAATTCCTCATTCAATATGTTCGGATAAAATTGCTCGAATTGATTGCAACTTGATGCTTCATTAATTTTGAAATAAAGAAATACCCACAATATTCGTTTATTTTTCTTGAACAATTAAGTAAAACGTTTATAGCAATCGAATCCAATTGTTTTCGAAAAATGAACGAAAATAAGTTCATTCAATTTTGAAATCGAAAAGACCGCGCTGCTGTATGGATGACGACGGTGACGAAAGAGGTAAACAAATATCATTAATCGGCTTGAAGAAATCTGGATTTTGAAGAGAGTATCGAAATTGTTTGGTTTTTCAAAGAAAATACACAATGAGAGAAAAAAGCAGGTTAATAACATAATCATTCAATCATGAGAGCTTACAAAAGATATGAAATAAAAAGGCCGGTGATACGGTGAAACAAACAGATCGTGAAAGGCACGCGAATAATAGTTCAAAAGATCAACAATAGATGTCGCTAGTCACTCACCTCCTTCTCCTTGGATGCGAGCTCCAACTCTAGGGAAGACCGGGCTACAACGTCAACAGCCTGCTCCATGTCAGGAGCCTTCTGGATCTGATCAGCCAATTGGAGAGACTGTTTGGCGGCTGCTAGTTGATCTTTCAGATGATTCACTTCCTTCTCAGCTAGTGCTGCCCTCTGTGGAAGAAAGGAACCGATCATTGAACACCTCATCGGTACAAATGCGCACACGCACATTCCCGCCTCTTCAAATAACTAATTGTCACTTTTTGATTTCGAACGCAACCAAAGAAAATAATCTATTAGCCGTACGCTGCGAAATGCGCATTTTTTTTCCTTCCGTAATCATTGATATTGGCAAAAATCGATGTCCAATCGATTTTTCAATTAAAGCGATCAGCAATCGCACTTAAAAGGAACAATTTTAGAGTTTTGCTTTGTTGCGGTTAAGCTACTTAAAATTTTACCGAGCGTAAAAGTTCTGTCTTTTAGGAAGGAAAATGACATGTTGCTTGTTACTTTTTAAGGGGTTGAAAAAAGTGTACAAGGTCAAGAAAAAAATTTTAGTTAATATAAATCGGTGTATTCAGATGGTCATTTTTAAGAATGTTCAAAAATATTTATTAAATCTATTATTTCTCACTTCGATAAAAGTCGATATTCAACACTGATGGAACAATTGTAAGAGAAAAAAAATTCTTTTTTTTTTCATTTATTCAACTTTCGCTGCTGAACAGTGGCGTGCAAGAGGCGAAGTATATAATTAATTTCGAGATTAAGAATAGTAAAACTTCAATTCTTACTGGTATTTTTTATTTTGAAATTAAATTTTTCAATGGATATGCAAAATATTTTATGAAAAATAAACTGTTGACTTTAAAACAAATTTAATTATGAAGTTTAAGGTCATTAAATTTTAAATACACTTAACATTTTGATTTTTTTTTTTTTTTTTATATTTACAATAGAACAATTTTTGCAAACATTTACATAAAAACAAATTTAAAATATGAATTTAATTTTATAAATGCGTATCTTTCTATTTTATTTATTTACTATTATTCAACTGACTTTTTGTGATTTAACTCCTGTTTTTAGAGGTATCTAATCAAAGAGTTTGACCCGAGCCTTTAGACACTTCTAAACGTCAGCATTTACCGATAGCTATTGTAGGAAAATGATGCAGTGACTGAATAGTTACCGAATTTCAGGATTTCACAGCGGCATATAAATTCTTTGAGCTTTGAACCAGAATAAAAAGAATGTTTAGTTGAGCGTTTTCCCTGCCTAGCCCAAAGAACTGAATATATATTTTCTCCATTTAGAATATTTTAAAACTCGTCATCTGCTCTCGGAGTAGGCTACCTTCCTTCTTAGCGGTTCGACTTTTAGGGATCTTTCTGTAAAATGTATCCAATCATAGGTGTTGTTGGTATCATCAATCACAAAAAGTTACGTCCAAATTTTATAAAAAAATTTTAAAAAATCGTTATCGATTTAAATTTAGCTTACATAAAAATTAAGCTAAGAAATGGAAGAAAATAATAGTTTGCATACATTTAGCAAAAGTAAGAAATTCGTATCAATTTCTTTTTTTTCTCTAATCAAATGGGAAAATTTGCAGCTGTGTATTTGAATTTCACCCTCCTCAAAAATCAGACGCGTGAGATGCCCATGTATCTAGGAGTGAGATAATCAACTACCTTTGTATGTAAAACACTAAATCAAAGTTTTAATTCTTTTGTCTCATTTGGATATTTTTAGGAGTAAATAATGCATGGTTTCAAAAAATTTCATAAATTTTAAATTATTGATATTTAATCACATATTATGACTAGATTTTTCACTGTTATTCACTCAAAATTATAAAATTATTCAGATTGTATTAACACCAGAACATAACATAACAGCAATTACTATTAGCGTTTCAAGGGTCAAATTATTATTAGCGTTTCAAGGGTCCACTTTTCGGAGAGGTGATGAAATTAATATACACTGTTACTATTTCTAAATTAAAAAAAAAAAAATCGAAATAATTTATCGTTATCTGCTAAACATTTACAAAAAAAACCAAATATTCTCATTTCTTAATTTTTTTTTAATTTTTCAGAATTTATCTCTGTTTTTTTATCATGTTTGGTTTGCTCTCATAATACAGAAAATATAATTAATGAATCTGCAATAGATAGTTAATAAAATAAACAAGTTATTTTTAATGAATGTATTGTCCTTTTCTGTTCATTCATTTAGGCAATGATTTGGCTTTCTTAGTTATGTAGTATTTATCACTCTCGGATGACTTTTACATGTGTCACAATTCAATAAAACTACTTAAGATTGCATATAATAACTTTTATATGAATTGATCAAGCGATAAATTTAATTTTGCTTCAAACTGTAACCAATAGAATTACTCAAATAGAAAGGATATTAATTAATTACTTAAAAAAAGAAATTGCTCAATAATTTTTGAAGATAATCGTGAAATTCAAAATTTTTAACAGTGACGATTTTTTCGAAACTATTTTTTCGCGTTTTAAGCTGCGAGTGGACATTTTTTTGCCTTTATTTAATTTCATTCCAATATTTGCCACTTAAAAAGATTTGTAAAAATTTAAAAATTAATATTAACTCAGAAATTAAAGAAAAATGGACAAGAGGAAACAAGCTATAATTTATGTTATATGGGCACTGTTCAGTAAGTATATATTGGCTAAAGTCAAACAAGATTTAGGCTAATAATAATTCAAAAACATAGAAAAATGACAAATTCAAAAAAATTTCTCATATAGAGAGTGGTGATAACTGAAACTACTTGTTGAGAGCAAGCGATAGAAAATATTAAATAAAGTTTTATATCGAGTAAGAAAGTCCGTAAATTTTGTACAGTTAAAAATTTTGCATTTCGTTTCGTTAAGAATATTGCAATGAGTGTGCAACAATGATTTTGTAAAAATGGTTGCGAGAAAAGTAAGGTTGAAGAGTTTATCTCTCAAAATGATTTCCAGTTGAAAATATTAAGAGTTTAAAAATAAGATTGCCATATTGTACATGAAAAATGGTAAATCTTTGTCCATGTAAACATTTATACTATAAATACTTTTTCTTCATTTAAATAATCACACTAGGGAACATTTATTTACTTATTTACTTTATTTATTTATTTATTATTTACTTTTGCATACAATTTCTTAACGTATCTTGGCTATTTTCTTCTCGCTGATTTCAAATCAGCAATTAGTTTCTTTCTCCAAGGTTAAAATTTTTCAATGGCATTTTTGTCGAAATGTACAAGTTTAAAAACATAGAGGGTCGTAAATACGGCGACAATCTTCTAGGGGAGGAAGGAAGCATCATTAGGATTAAAATTGCATAGAAACCCATTCCCGAAAATGTCGTCAAACGCCTCTAGGGCCGCTTCAGTATTATGAACGTTTTCTTCGTGTGTTTCTGAACGGGTCATAATATGGAAGCGTCCTAGCTGCGGGAAACGACATTTCCGAGCATGGATTCCTATTCAGTTTTAATTCTGATGATGAGCCCTAGCTTCCTTAGAATTTACGCGGCCTCCTGTTATGTATAACTTTTTTAAGCTTGTACATTTCAATAAAAAAAAATTAAAAGTTTCATTTAAAAAAAAATCTGTAGCTTTAGGAGCAAAACTTATTTTAAATTTGAACTCTCCACAACCGAATTACGTGAGATCAAGTATTTGTATCAATGCAACAAAAAATCTGTTCCTTAGAGTTATCAAATTTTAGATCTTATCGTTAAGTTCTATCATTTTCAAACCTATGGCTTTTTGTATTGTTAAGATTTCAAGATAAAAAATCCGCATAATGCTGATTTTCCCAAAGAGGGAGCAGCAAAAATAACGCGAGAAAATTTGTTTCTCAAAACAAAATTCAGTCAAGAAACTTTTTAAAAAACGAATTTCCAATTTTTTTGTAACAAAAAATACTTCAAAATGCTTAGAGGAAGAAAATATACTTCTCACTGAACCTCACACAGTAACCTCGCCTTTTCAAAGTAAAATCCATTGCTAAATTATTGTCCCAAATGCTTTCATATAAAAGCCGCTCTCAAAAAAAGAAGAAGAAAAAAAAGAAAAGTAAAAAGATAATTTTATCTATGGAAAAAAGGGAAGAAAGAAATGAATAGGTTTTGATGAAGAAAAAGCATTCCCAGCTAAGAAAAACAACGGCATCTCCTCCGAAAGCTACCCGCCTCAATAAACAACATTTAACAGCAATCCAAATGTCATATTTCGACAAATGCAGCAACTAAAATAACTCGAAGTCAGCGAAAATTCGAATTGAGGAGGGAGAACTTTTCTTATGAAATTCACGTCGTAGAAAAACAATTTTTACGATTTCACGAGTTCTATTTCCTGGTGGGCATTCAGCCAAAAGAACAGCGAGAGGCATCCCGTTTCTTATTCTTTCATCTTTGAAGTCCTGAGCGTGTGGCTCGCGAGCACCATGACGTATAGATCAAAGGAGCGATGTCTATGTAACAATTAAAGCATGATGCAAGTTTTTGTTGCTCATGTATATGTCAACGCATTGGAAAATTTGGTGTAAGATATGTTAGCGTAAATTTGTCAAATTTTATTAATGTAAAAAAATGCCCATCATGATTGTTTGCTTGTGTTCAATTTTGAGCAATTTGTTTCGGCAATTTTATATTTTTGAAGCAGTTCTATACAATTGGTGCCGTTACGAGGCAAGAATTTTTACTCTCTGTAATTGTTGTTAGAAAATTCTTCATCCCCTTTTTATTTCTTTGTTTACTTACTTATTGTGTTTAACAAAAATAATGTATTACTGAGTACAGTGTAATGTACGACTACCAATGTTCATTTAATCGTGGTAGTTTTAAACCCAATCCACAAGGCAAAGAAACTCCTGTATCGAGAATCGAGAGAAATTTGCTTCCATGGAAAACTTTTTGATGGAACTTATCCATATTTGCGTTACGTGGAGAGGAAAACCACGAAAACCACCCACGGTTAACCTGACGGAAATTGGACTCGAACCCATGATCCGTCAACCACTAAGGATGTTTTACGTCAGTACTGTGGTCGGTGTAAGTTGGAAGTGGAATTCGTATCGACCTGCCACCGCTGAGATTCGAACCTGGGATACCATATTGGGAGGCGAACGCTCATTGCCCCC